AAATAAATATTAGAAAAAGTATTATATTATTAAAATATTTTTTAAAATATATTAAATTAATGTATTAGAAATCTCTGTAATTTAAAGCAAGCCTTTCGTTCTTCAACTACATGTCCATTTCCGATACCCAAAGGCTAATTCCATCATAATAACTTATCTTTTACCCGGTCATTATTCAGTGAAACCTTTCTATTTGAAAATTCTGTGATCATCCTTTGTAATAAAGGCCCAAGATACAACCTCCACCAACTGCGAAATGCATGGCTTTTTTTGTACAGGATCTCTGTGGCTGTTACTGGAAGGCACTAAATAGTATGTTCAAGCACTAAATAGGCTTCCTTATTCTCTGTTTGTTATTTAGTGTGTGATATACTTTTGTGTATGTGTATTTGATAGTGTGTACATATATATATATATATATATATATACTTTTGTCTATCATCATTGGAAATAAAAATATATGCATTACAAATCTGAGTTATTAAGCACATTAAGGCTGTTTACACCTTTCGTTCCAAAACAGATATTCAAATTAAATACATTAGGCAATTTGTGTTTATCTGCATTTGTTTCAATAATAATGTTTTTGTTGGCATTAATTTCTCTAAGTAATTTAAACATGAGGTTGTTTAAGGCCATTTTTTATCTATTCATTTATTGAAATATTTACATTTATTACTTCTTATATATTAATATTTACATTTATTACTTTTTCCCCCATTAGATAATCCAAGAATTTTATATATCTTATAATTTATGGTATAGGCTTGTATATATGTAATATGAATTTTTTTTTAAATTTTCCAGAAGAAAAAAATTCTTATCTTCTACTTGTTATCTCATTATCGGATTGTTTTATAAGGTATTTCTCCTGCCTTCGTAGCATGCCTCGGCACATATTCGAGAGGTCCATGGTTCTAGTCGCGGGGAGGGCATTGCTCGTTTTTCACGTCTCTCAGCTTCCAAAAAAATCCTAATGTCTCTACAGTGTCTTCTTCAAAATAAACAAATAAATCTGATGGAATGAAAATATTTTGGTCATTAAAACTTTTTAATCACTGCTGTTTACATCTACATTTCTTTTTTCACATAATTTGAAGTTTTCAAGTAGTTTGAAGGTTTTCAAACTAAGTTTCAGAGAAATTTTAGATATCGTGCAACTCCTCTGGGGCATCTTCAAGTCAAAATCAAAATTTAAAACTATTTTTAATATCACTGGACATACTTAAAAAGAAATATTTTTATTCTATTGTTATTGTTACAAAAAATAATATTAAGCAGATCTGTTTTTATGATTAAAATTATAATGAAATAATGATTTTCTTTTCACTTTCTGCATAAAATGCACAAATTTTGTATTTCAATTCTTTTTTAACATTTATTTTTTGAGGATGGAAATGCTTCTCTCTAAAAAATTACAATTTTAGAGTTTTTTCTGAATTTACAGATTTGAAGACAGTTGGATAGAAAAGCCACAATTTTTGAAATGGATGAATAAATACAGCCCTGGCTTTTGTTATGTTTTATGCATTTAATAAATTTCCGCCCGACTGTTTATTAATTCTACCTAACACAATTAATCGATACTTGTTTCTAATATAGAATTTTAGCATCAATTCTACATAATAACATGAGTAATCTTTTTTTAATTGAATTTTATCATTATTAACAAAATACTTTGGCACTATGAACTGAGAATTTTTTCCTTGACTTTTATCTTTCAATACTTTAGGAACTGGTCATTGATTTACATCTATAATAAAAGAAATAAATGCTTGTATGAGTTTTAACATATTGTTAAAAATGCAATAAACCTCAGCTCCTTTGTTGCATGAATAATGTTAAACTCCCTGTTAAGTATTTTTTTAGCATCTTCTATGTAACAGTATAGACTCCATGATTATTCCTTAAAATTGGAAGTATCAGAAATAGATGTAAATATGTATTGTCTTCTGCATTAACTTACAAAAATAAAGTGTGAATATCTGAATGGAATTATATAGAAAGAGCTACAGGACGCTATGTTTTCATGATGGTCATTCCACTATACAGGAAATATCAAATCAAACAATAAGTGCAGGAAAAGATTCAGTAAGAGTATATACTCTCTTCTGAAACAATACATTTGACTGTAGTTGTTCCATATGATATTCCTATACAACATCCCAAAATCTTGGTAAATAACTTTCTAAACCAAGATTACAGTGTAAAAAAAGTAGTGGAAAAATGTTGTAGTCATGTAACTGGGCTACCATACATAAAAATTAAGCAGTGTTACAAGTGTTTTTATCTTAACTGCCTGTTACAACCAAATAACAAGCTATGAGAAAGAACATGCAGTGTCAGTACAGCTGGATGATCCCTTTTACAGAGTTGCTAATTTGAAAACAAGTTAACCTGTAAAACTACCCTTCATACTGGTTTGCTTTAGATTCATTTGGTAACAAATATGCCATTAAAGTCTGTACCAATCAATCAATAAACCTTGTTACAAGCAAGTTTTTGTTTGCAGGATGCTGTTCATAATTGGCTTTCTTTTGGTGGTATAGCAACAGCGAAGAGAGAAAGATTCCGGGTAATTTAAATTCAACTAACATAGCAAATTCCATTCTTCTGTAACTTTATAATTTGATACAGCTTTATTTTTCAGAATTTTATTCATACCACTATTTCATCCATTGCAGACAAATTCCACAAGTGCATATTTTAAAATTAATTTCACATTTAAAAAAGTATGATTTGTTTATAAATGATTTGTTATAAAAATAAAAATGAGTTATAAAAAATCATTGTAACTTGGACAAATGCACACACAACACACACACAAAACAAAAAAAAAAAAAAAAAAAAAAAAAAAAAAAACATACAAAAATGGTGATGCTGCTTATTAAAAACTGAAGAATTGTTATATGCACATACACATGGTTGACACAGTTTGGTGCATCCTGCGAAATTTGTTATGGTAATATGGTAGCAAAAAAAAATTTTTTTTGTCATTTTGTATTAAAATTATTAAGGTTTTGACGGCTATGCTAAGTTACACAAAACAAGGTAACGTACAGTAAGAGCTATGTACCTTAGGTAAAAGGATGCCTTTGAGAAGGTATTTCTAGGAGAAATTGACTTGTATTCACATAATACATAAGGAAAATCAGCTATCCCATTCACCAGTATTTGTACCTGAATCAAACATCCAGTGTTCAGCTATCTTATCTGCTAGCCTACTGGTACCAGTCAAAATAGACAGTAATGTAATATTATACAAGCTAAGTAGCATTGACTTATACATCACTAAAGAAATAAATACACTTCAGAAAACCTGTTTTAATTATAAGATTATTTTGAAAAACGTTGCTCGTGATAAAACTAAAGAATGAATTTTCTTTACACACTGACTGTTAAATTATTATATTTCAAATCAACAGACTGCATTTATACAATAAGACAGGATGAAAAATACAGTAGTCATTGAGGCAATTGTTGAGTTTCTGAAGAAACAATAAAAATTTTCAAATCTATCATAGTATACCCTGTTTAATGTTTAATATAGTATGGAAGGTTTTGTAAAGCATCAGCTATTTAAAAAAAAAAAAAAAAAGCATGCAATAGCTGACAATGAAACCAAATAAAAATCAAACAGAACTCTATTACACGTTATGCAACAAAATTAATGAATATGAACGTCTATAAAAATTTTTTCTTTTTTTTTTTTTTTTTTTTTTTTTTTTTTTTTTTAACTTGGACCAGATCTGGAAACATCAACTAGATCTTAGGCAATAAAATTAATAAAAATTTATGTTGATAAGTACTTAAGAACAAAAAGAACAAAATGGCCAAACTTTCAACTAGATAACCAAATAAAGTGTTTGCGTTCTAGAGGATTTTATTTACTTCACATACATACATACATTATCTTTACATTTACTTTCATAACTCGTATCATACATAACATACTCTTATCATCGAATGATTATGATTTTCTATAGTAATAAGCAAATTTTTTTAACAGGTTTCTACTTCGTGTCTGCAAAGTATTCCTTTAAATTGCAAGGTTTCGCGATATTAATTTTCCTTCTGACAAAGTTCACACACGAATCCAAACATAAAACCCTTCGTAATCGATAAACAACGGCCATTTCATTATCGATGGCAAAAGTCTGCCTATCGATAGTAAAAGGAAAGTTTGGGCCATCCGAAAAAGCGGCGACCAAAGGAAAAGGTCCAGCGGCGTTATATCAGGTGATCTGGGTGGCCAAGGAATTGGACCTCCTCTCCCAATCCATCTTCCTGTAAAATGGTCATTCAAAGAACTACAAACAATGATACCCCAATGAAGTAGTGCACTATCTTGTTGCAAAGGACATGTGGCTGAAGCTCTTCTTAGTTGTGGAAATACGGAAGTTTTCCAACATGTCTAAGGTATCTGACTGATGAGACCATCTTTCCTGTAAAAAAGAAAGGCCCAATGACTTGGTCGTGCATTAGTCCACACTATACATTAACCTTTGGGATATCCCTTTGTGCCTAACGGTATTCATGGGGGTTTTCAGATCTCCATATGCGCACATTATGGTGATTAACAATGCCAGAAAGATGCCAAAAACAAAAGAGAGAAAAATGCAATTAATAAACAGATGATATTTAGATAAGTACAGATATTTCGACTGGAAAATGAAATTATCTGAAATTAACCACACGCGCAGACGATATTTACAAAAGTATTCCATCAATAAATGCCATAAGTTTGTTTATATCTTCATTATTTTATGAGTTATTAAACATCAAAATTGGTCCGGGACTTTATAAACACCTTGTATTTCGGGCATAAAGAATATCTGCAAAATATTTCCGAGTTTTTCGAGAGCAGTGATTGTACTTATAATTAAGGTCTATCTCTTATGTTCCTCGAAGACGGTAAGATTACATGATTCCTCTTATAATTTTATAAAATGTATCACAAAAATTATCAATCATACCAAATTCATACTATTCCAACTTACTTGCAATTCAAAAACAGGGTCTTCAACAAGCATCTCTCCACTGACCACATGAATGCGACTCAGAGGAAAGTAACGCATCCAGCGTTCCAGGTGCTTAGCATATTGTCCAATTCGAATACCTGTCCAATCTGCGTCAACAAGCCCCGTGCTGGAATTCCTACAATAAAAAATATAATTGAAGGGTGATTATTAAAGCAGTTTTGAAGAGTAATAATTCATACACTGCTCACATCAAAAGGTTCCTAGCCTACTGATAATCAACTACTTAGATCCTTAATATTTTTAACCAGAATCCTATCACTCAATGCCTAATGTTTTCTTTTAAAAGATTTTGTCATGGTTTGGAAAAATATTGAACCTAAGCTACTAATTATGTCGCCGAAGAACTATGGCCATATTCGGAATCGAATAAATATAAGCGTACATGTGCCTGTCTGCGGAACTCTGATTGTCATGTAGGTAGGAAGCAGGGGGGGCCCACGAGCGATGCGTAGTGCAGGGAGAAAATTATGCCACCTGCGCATGACGTCATGTGGGTGACAGTCGTTAGTTCTCGGCGTTTGTTTACATTCGTTGCATTTGATCTGTGATACATTTGATTTGTGTTGTTAATTTGCTTCTATAAGTAGTCGGAAATGGCAAGTTGTGCTATAGCGTTGTGTCAGAATTATAGAAGGAAAACTAAAAGTCAAGGCATCACATACCATCGTTTTCCAAGTGATCCAGAACTTCGTAAGTTATGGACTAATTCGCTGCAAAAGAGCAGATAATTTCAACATCGAAAATGCCAGAGTATATGTGCTCTTCATTTTACACCTGATGACTACGTACGAGATCTAAAGGCAGAATTGCTTGGTTCAACTCCTTAAAAGGGTGCTGAAAGCCAATGCTGTTCCCACTTTACATCTTCCGTCATCATCATGTGAAAATAACTCATCAATAAAGTATATATGTTGTGCTTCAAAAACTGAACCTAATCTGGAGAGAACGTTTTCTAACAGGAATGAGTTCATCTAAATTTATGCTAAAAAGGGATAGAGCAAGCAGGTGTCAGGCTCGGGGAAACAAGGAAACGAGACATTGGAAAATTTAGCTTCCCTTTCCCCCAAAAAGAAAAAACTACAAGCTGATAAGATAGACTGTGCAACTCAGTTTACATCCAGTGACCACATCTCATTTAGTTGAGCGTGTGCAAAATCTTAGAAAAGGAAAATAAGAGATTAAATGTGTTGTGCAGTCAATTGAAAAATGCAAAAGAAAAATTATTTTTACTGAACTTACTGCTTCTCGTAGAAAATTGCGTAGCTATCAGAAAATGAGCAGGAAAGTAAACAAGCAAACAAGTACATAGTGCAGTTAAAAAAATTTTAGGGACAATTTTTACGGACAATCAAATTCGCTTTCTCATGTCAAATAAAAAATATGTTAAGTGGAATGCAGATGACATTTGCAAATCTGCAACACTTAGGGCAGTATCCAAAAGATGCTATAACTATCTCAGACAAAAATGGGATTTCCATTTCCTAGCATTTCGACTTTGAAGAGATGGGTATCTTGTTCATTTCGCTGTTCTCCTGGTTTGCTACACGATGTAATTCATGTTATGCGTGCTGGGGCATTACAGATGACAGACCAAGAATGTATGTGTGTTCTTTCATTCGATGAAATGAACGTGGATAGTAGAATCTGTTATGACCAAGCAGAAGATAAGATTGTTTGCCCACATAGAAATGTTCAAGTAGTAATGGTGCGAGGACTTCTTGCAAGCTGGAAGCAGCCAAATATATTTCGACTTTGATACGCAAATGAACGGCAGAAATATTGAAAGATATAATAATAACATTAGCAGAAATTGGATATTATGTAGTTGCAGCTGTAGCTGACTTGGGTGGTAGAAATCGTGCTGTGTGGACAAAACTTCAGATTACTCATCTTAACAGCAGCTTTTCACATCCCCAGGACTCTAGTAAACGTGTGTGGGTGTTTGCTGATGTGCCACACCTTTTGAAACTTCTTCGTAATCACTTTTTGGATGATGGATTAATGCTTCCAGGAAATAAATGAATTACTAAAGAACCTATCGAAAGATTGATGTCAATAGATTGCAAAGAAGTGAAAATTTGCCCAATGTTGTCTGTAAGTCACATTGCTGTTAAAGGAAATGAATGTCAGCGTATGCATTTAGCTGCACAGTTATTTTCAAACCATATTGCACAAGGTATCTGCTATCTTATACCAGAAGAAGAGGACACTGCAAATTTTTTTGAATTAGTGAATAATTCATTTGATATTCTTAAACTCCAGGAAAACCTGTCTCTGATACAGTGTTATTAGCTTGTGCATATGGGAATACATGAAGAAATCCAGGAGAGAACTTTTTGAACTTAAAGAAAAGTTTTATGCATTTTTGTGAAGACATGAGAGTTGGGCAAGGCAAAGCACCTATTACCATTTCAGAAAAGGATTTATGATGTCGATTACATCACTGCTGGGGTTATTTTCTGATTTAAAACAATTAGGAGTTAAATACCTTTTAACTTCCAGACTCAATCAAGATTGGCTGGAAAAACTTTTTCCCGAATCCGAGGTCTTGGCCATTTATATGATCATCCACTGCCCGTAGATGTAAAGTATCGAATGCGTCTTTTATTGTTAACTAATAATTCCTGCCAGATTTCACTTTCCAACACATCTTCTGTTGCTGCTGATGAGGAGGAAGATGCATACATTACTTCTCACTTTTTTGGTAATATTTTACCTGACATGACTGAAGCTCTGAAGATGTTAGATGGTGAAACTGAGATGAGGGATATTGTTTTGATGATTCTACATTGACCCTTGCAAGTGAACCTGCAGCTGAGTGCTCTGTACAAGGTTTTAGGTACCTTGCAGGGCTACATAGCCTACCACAGAAGAAAATATGACCATTCTTCCCTTCAGATGAACACGTTGGTTGGATAGAAACGCTTTCTCGTGGTGGTTTACTTGTTCCATCAGAGGAGTGGTTAAAAAAAAAAAAGTCAATTTGAAGTAGTGTTTGTAAGTGAACATGGGAAAGATGGTCTTTCAAGAAGTAATAACATTATGCAAACTATGTGTAAAAAAATTGCACAAAAGTTTCCTGATGTGCATAATGAAATCATTAAAATATATGTTAAGACACGAACATTTATACGCTTGAGGTATTTGAATACAGAAATGAAAAAGAAGAAAGAAATAAGGCTGATATGAAAAAAGGCACAGAAGTGGATTGCATCATCTTTATAACTCCTCCTCATATTACATCCTACTCATATATGAAGATACTTTTCAATAACAGCCAGGACAGCGATTGATGATGATGAAGAAGTTCAAAATGTTAATGAAAATGAGTGTAAAAAATCATTGCCAGTTAAGTCAAATGCATATGATTCTTTACTACACAGTGTCGAGTTTGAAGATAGTGTACCAGAAAACATTTCCCATGCATTTACAAAGATGTGAGGCTTCTTATGACATGATCCCAACAATCAAAACAAGCTTTCGTGTTTTAGGGAAAGTATTCTGCCACTGCAAATATCCTCTTCGCAAACATTTCACATTGGCAAATTTAATAATATTTTGTCAAACAATTTTTGGCATTTTAAAGAAAGAAGCTTGCTTTAGAAGACTGTGTTGTAAAATTTATAAGTGAATACCATTAACATTAAGTACAAGATGTCTGAAATGGAACTGTAATGCTACCAGATTAGAACCATCATTTACTTCCAGATATGTTACAAAAAGGGAGCTACAGAATGTCAACAAAACATGCATACAACTTTAGGTACTAATGTTGCATTATTTAATGTTTACAATTATTTTCAGCATTCGTACGAATTCTGTGCATAAAATAAACATTGCTTTAACAAAATACTTTATCGGAAAGTATATACCCGGTATTTCCGGTGTATCTACCACATTTAAAATGATTATTTTGCTTTAGTTTACATTACTTCCATTACGAAAATCATGTAGCAGACGCGTCGGCCGATGAGTCTTGTCTCCCGGGTGACGTCACTACCAGCAACCAATGGCACGCTTTTTCCGTTCCTGGCCTAACCTTAGTATATTAAAGAACCTTGGGTAGGAAGTAAGAGGAGAGGCCTTAACCGGTTTTCCCCAATACACTGCTTTGAAGCATTGACGATTCCTTCTTGGAGACCAAGACATTCAGTGACTTACCATTAAGATCAATGGGTTTTGACACAATCGGATGTAAACATTTTGTAACTACATCGTAAATATACATATAAATCTATATATTTTCTTTTATTAAAATATTTCAGAGTCCTAAGTATGTGAAAAGAATACATTTTTAAATAAAATTTCCTTTTAAACGGAATTTAATGCTGTACTTTTCACACAACAGTTTGCTCAGAGCGGTTTAATTTGAATGAAATATTTTCACAAGTTTTTGTTAATGACATTAGAAAATATTTTTAAGGTAATTTGATTTTATTCGGTTAAGGATTACAAAAATTAAGATCAAAGTTTATTGTAGTATTAATATTAAAATTATGCATTATTTCCTTTATATTTATATAGCTTCTTCCTAAAATACTTTCTCAATTAAGGCATGATTTTTTAGCTTCTGAGGCACCTTTTAAATCGAAAAATGCAAGTCAATTTATAATTAATGCTCTATTCTGTCTATTTCAAAGAGCATCTTTTATTTTAATAGTGAAATACGTCAAATATTGGTGCTGATTTCCATGTATTTTAACTTTCTCTAAATCTTTCTGAAAGGGAATAAAAAAGGGATTTTTTTTAATATTATTTAAAACTTGTAACTGAGTTATTATAAAATGTAAGGGAGTAATTCTTTTAATACTTATCAGATTTTTTTACACTTAATTTCAAAAATACATATTCTAAAACTCTTCTTTACTACTTCCTTAAGTACCCATCTCATGGAATTCGCTTTGCACAAATTGCTTTCCAGTACGAAAAATTCTTGCTTAGATAGTTTTATAAACGTATTTGTCAACAGAATTTCAAGTTATGTTTACAATTCAATGTTAAGATTGTTATATATTTAGATAATATGTATAATTATTATAAATTTAGATATATTTAATAAATAGATTACTTCACATTAACTTTCACAGAAGTAAATCCTTCAGTTTCAAATACACTTATAAATAATTTAATAAATATTTATCCCCTCCCTTCAAAGCTTAAATTGCGCCGGAGCCCACCGGAGCCTGACTCCGATACTTCTTTGTTTTGGGGCTAAATCAGAATTCTGGACGGAGTGCACCGGAGCCCTAAATAAGAAGGCTCCAGCACTTTTATGTAACTGAACAACAATTTCAGTAGAAATCTGATCTCGAAAATTTTATTCTTAGCTATAAAATTATATTAAAAATCGCTGATTAAATTTAAATTTATTTCTGTACATTTAATTTAATTGTAATCATTTACTTACTTTAATCTCTAATCATTTAATTAACAATTAATTGAACAATAAGTATTAATTAAATAACAATACAAATGTTAATTATTCGCATTAATTTAATAATTAAATTATTAATGACTTTAATGGCCATTTTATTTCTTTATTTAGCCTTGTTGCACTTTCCTGACGGTCCTGCATAGGTCTCCTGCACTTCTAATTTTAGAAATTAAGATTTAACCATGGTGATTGAGGAGGGGGATATAAACGCACGATGGGTTTTCGGCGATTTGTGCGCTCGTATTTCTTCACGATATTCGCCGTATTTCTCACAAGAGTTAGGCAAATTTTATAAGGTGTCAGGTAAACTGAGTAGCCACGAACATATGGATGACAAAACGTGAAAGAGAAATGTCAGCAGATTGCAGGCAGGCCAATCATAGCTATTCATTTGACCAAAACGGTACGGATCAAATAATTGCGATTCGACCATAGTATTCTTCCATAAAAAGTCAAATTATTATTTGTTAATCATTATTTTTACTCCTTTTATGAAATTTTTTCTCAACTCAGGTAAAATCATTTTCGCTTTTAATAATCATCGTAATAATCAGATAAAATCATTTTCGCTTTAGATTTCTTCTTAGTGACATGCTTAAATATACTAAAAAGTTTATGCAATATATACTAACTAAATTTTACCGCTGCCCGTTCAACTAAGAACATTCTGGGTCCGGCTAATTCAGCCAGAATAGCCACCCGAAGACGACCTTTGACACACCTAGCGGGCCCGGGGTCCCACATCCCCGAGTTATCCAGCAAATTAAAGCTCCCTCTGCTAAACGCTCAACGTTTAGCCGATCCACCGCTAAACACGGACCAGTTAAGACCACCGTCTCGGCTGGACCGAGACCTCGGTGGGGTGGGCGATGACCTTGGAGCGATGACTGGCCGTTGATTGAGGCTACCTGCCAGTACTACACGGGATGCCCCTCTCCTTAGGCTTTACATGGAATACCAAGGACAGTAGTGACCAGACTCTCAATGTTCCAGTTTGCTATTTGGCTACCAATACTCTGGTGGAGGGGACTGACACATCCCGGCCCATGAAGAGTAAGTATAGACTCACCCCATGGACCATCGGGAACCACCAAGTTCAAAAAGGCACCCCCGTGGCCGAGACTGCCTAGGTACAGATCCTAGCCAGTGCTTCGAAGAGTACTCTACGTCGACCCCCGGGGGGATGCAATATATACGTACATACAGCATAAATTTCCAATTATTCAATTTAAAATAATGCTACAGGAACAATTTAATTACGCAATACATATACCTTAGGCGGCAATGTTTATTATTATAATTTTTCCCTTGCTGACCCTGACTTCCGACCGCAAGACATGCTGAATACATAGCGCTGCTGCCCTCTGGTGGTTTCCTGGATGTGCAGTAATTCAACCGAGCCAGTTTATGCCTAGAAATGCTCCAATGAATCATACCTAAGATGAACCCTCTTAGCAAGTGTTCTCCTATATTTAGATATAGGCATGATGTTAACGAGTTATGAGGTTACTTATACTTCATCCATTCAAGTCGCACATCAAGGCTCACCTATTAGCTACTTCCCATCTGAGGCAAGGGTCGTTGGGTTCGCAAGGCTCTGCGCACCACGCAGGGAGCGGAACGAAAACTTGAAGGCCTGATCACCACGCCAGCCTACTCGGAGGGCCAAAGCCACCTACCTTCCAGGACAGTACTGACTGCCGCTTCCGGAACCAGGAACCGGGTCTGCGTACATTATGGCAGAGTCCTTACTGTCATAATAATATAATACTAAGCCAATGTATACATTCCCAGGTTCAGATATATGGTATATATTTCCAGGTTCCGATATATGGTACATATTCTCAGGTTCAGATATAGTTCCAGGTTCGGATCCCAGGCCAAACATAAGTGTAATTAAATATCTGTTGATGATAACATCGCCATCATATGTAGATGATGATGATGACAATGGCATGGTGACAATGACAAGATGACGACGGTTGGTGCATCTTCGACGAATTTATGGATGATGGCAATGGCATATTGTTTTTGCAAATATTTCATAAAACCATCTCTGGTTTCGAGCTCCAAATCATTCATTAATCTGCAAAGCAAACAATTCGACACCCACCTGCAGTTATGTACTAAGATTCTCACTAGTGTATTTCTCAGTTATTGTAGAAAGTGACGAATCTTAAGACCTATTTAGCGAATAATCGCTAAGTAGTTCTTGTAAAAGAACAACAAGAAGGAAGGGTAACTACCCTTTATTATTCCAATAAGATTTAACAAAACTCCGTCTTGGAGTGTACAATAAACTTGGACTTGAACTTAAGAGACTAAGAAATAAACTAAAACTAAGATTTAACTAAAGAAATATAGCCGAAGCTATCAAGATTCTAATCGAGTTGGCCCCTTAACTCTAATTGAATACGAAGCTTATCAAGGGCCTGAGTGCGGCCGAGCCTAATAACAGCTTTCAGATAGAGAGTAGCCAAAAGGCAGACACGCGCAAATCAGAAACTCTGATTCTCTCTAGACTTCGAGGTTTAAATACCGCTCCTCCTCATTAAGTATTCAGAATGATTCCAAAATAGTTGGGGGAAGTAGTAAGTTGAAGTGAAGAATTTGACAGGAAAGGAACTTAAAATTTAACTGTTAATAAAATTAACATAATCCTTACAATGTCTATTAGAATTTTTCCATGAACACTGTGGATTTACTGCACTTAAAACCATTCATTCAGAAATACATTTTACCGGGCCAATAGAAATTTATTCATGTCTTACCTAAATGCCATATCTTCAAATGATCTGGTATCTTGAGGTCTTTTGCTTGATGCTTGCGCGTAGTCAGACAGCGCCCGCGTTACGGGATCCCTGACGACAATTAGTAGCAGCATATCTCTCGACATATTCGCTACCCTCTGTGGTGCTCCGGATGTCACCAAGTAGCCAGGTGTCTTTTCCATTGTCAGCTGGTTCTCGAAACTTAGCGGCATCTGCTGCCTGAAAACAAGATACGTTCAGGTAAACATTCCGAAAGAATTAGCAACAAAACGTGTCTACATTCAAAGTAATTTAAAATTACGGAGATGATTATATCAATTTAACTCATACTGAAGTATTCTTGATTAACAACATTGACGAAGGAAAGTTTATTAAATGCAGTCATAGGAAATATTAAATTATTATAAAAATTGATTTCTGGGTATATTATCTGCTCACATACAGATTGGATTAGACTATTTAATAAGGTGCTACTTGATTTTCACCGCCTCCCGTTAACAAAACGGCGCTAAGATTATCGCCAAGCTGCCATATCTCTGGACTACTTTTATTACGGCATCAAAAAGCTTATCTATCCCACAGGAATTTCACCACATGAATTTTGAAATGTACGACTCTACAACAGGGTTTCTTAAACTGTTTGTCGCGACCCACAAGGGGGTCTTGGAACCTCCAGCAGGGGGTCGCCAAAAATTTGAGCAGTTTTGATATTTCACTAACTTATTATAATAATTTTACAATTACATTTTTACACAGTGTATCTGAAAATAGATAAAGATAAGACAATACAGACAAAGAAAAAAACGAAAACGTTTCGACGCATTCTTTTTATAATATAAAAGCTCATGTTCCTTGCTTTGCACGTGACGCTGTCATTTCGTCTGTTACTTATTTAAAATTCTCACATTGTTCTATGTCTTAAAATTAGAAACTAAAATTAATGACCTAAAACTGCAATAGTATATTATAGTGCAAGTGAAAAAAACTGACAGTTTCACTCACGCGTGTGTCGAATTTGCGCAATACTTATGGGGTCCCACAAAATGTTTGTAAATATTATGGGGTCCTGGGGGTCGCGAAACAATCTCAGTGATAAATAGGGGTCGCGAGTGAAAAAAGTTCAAGAAACCCTGCTCTAGATGATGTCCAGCCGTACTCCTTTGTTCCCCCCTCCTCCATTTAACAAAGTCCCACAGTCTTTACACATTAACATTAATTAATTACAGTTACCAATAATTAGAAAGATTTTAGTGTACTTTTCCATAATAAACTAAACAGAACGTAATTAATTACAATTAACAATGGTTAGAAAGACGCTCTTTTCTGGAACACTTCCTAAGAGAAATTTTTTAAATATTTACATGGTAAAAAATAAGCAAATAAACAATAAAGCCTCCAAATGCGAAGCAAGATTATTGTTTATATGCGCGTATAGTAAGAAATTTGATGGAAATAAACTGAATCATTAAATCAGAAAATAAAAAGGAGCTAAGAGCGTTCACACGCAAAATAAACAATATACATCGAGTATTAAAAAAAAGTCAGATATCATTGCACTTCATTTATCCCTACTGTCATTTCTAAAGTAGATTAGTCCAACTTGTCAGCTGTTGGCTCATGAGTCATAAATAACTTGATAAAAGCTATGTCGGAGAGAAGAAAAATTCAAGGACGCAAGCCTCGACGACTGACGGCCGGTTGTCATCAGCAAAAAGGAGTTTACGGAAGTTCTGAAACAACCACATCTTCAAACGCGACTTCACAACTCCTGAACACTCATTTCCAACGGAACGGACATCAATCTGCGCCTTTCTTCTTTCATCTGGGGAGTCGAATCAAGTTCTTAATGATTCACACCTCAGTTCTTCAGAATTAGATCATCTAGACTTGTTTGCTCAAGATTATTTCGTAAGAACCTGTAAAAAGGCTTGGTTTATTCTTAGAAGCCCGTTTCCCCTTATTTGATCTTTAAAAAATTCCGCATTTCCCCCTCTTTTATTACTAATTTTATCGTCCGGAAATCCAGAGGGTATATTTATGCGTATAATTTATTTTTCGGAGGGCATTTTGATACTTCCGTCAGTATACTGGCACTCAGCAGGTGAAAGGTCCTGCTTTAGCCAGTTCATGCCTGACTCGTGTTGAAATCCGAAGATCGATTTCTCCACATGAGACAAATATCAGGGAAGAGAAGAAAGGCACGGTTACAGTAAAAATAACAACAAAAAAAAAAGTCTGAAAGGTTTTTAGATTTTAAATTACGTCCGAATAACCTTTTTTTTTTTTTTTTTTTTTTTTAACGTTTTGTGTGTTACCTTTATTTATTAAACATCATGTTCTTTGCGCTTAAATCATAATATTCAGTTCAATAGCACAATCGAGACAAAAAATTTTTCTTTCGTACAGTGTTGCTATTGTTCGCTTTGAAATTCTTGAGTTTGTTAATCAAAAATTCGTTCAAGTTTTACAAAATATGAAATAGATAATAAAACAAATTTCAAATTTGGGCTTACAGATGCCCATTTTCGGGCGGAGACGAACGTTAATCTGAATTTGATGTCTCTAGGTATCCTTTGTTTTTACACACTGCGAAAAACATTCATACATTCATTCAGATTCTTCGTTATTTAATGCCTTTAAATATAATGCAGGGCTCTAATATTTGGTGGCAACAATTTGAAAAGTGAAATGCTGTTTATAGCGAACCAACGCAAAATGCCAAAATGAAATTAATAGCCCTTCTGAGTAAATTGCCCCTTTGGGCTAATAACAAGTAAAAAAAGAGTCATGAGAAAACTATGGGTAACTATCACAATATTATTTCCTTAAGAGAAATATATATTTCAGCAGCCCGTGTCCTAAACTATGGGACACCATCGTTTATGACATGGGTTACTCATTTAAACCATTTTTTTTTAATTAAAAGACATATGATTTTCAACAAAACGTCATGTTTTTCCATATGCCATTTTTTTACGTGTTCTATCGTTTTTAAGCCCACCCAAAAAAAATTATAGGCAAAATTTTCATTAATTTTAATAAAAAAAAAGACATAAAAAGAACAAAAATATAAAAATAATTTTAAAGAATCAAGTATTTTTGCATTTTTTTAAACTCAAAAATTTAAATGAGGCAAAAAAAAATATTAAAATTTAAGAAAAGCTATGATTTTTACAGAGGCTGTCAACCCTGCCTTATTAAAAAAATTAAAAGAAGTTAGAAAAATTTAAAGAAATCGTTTCTGTATTAAGCTGGAATAAAGGTCAACGAATTGAAAGGCGTGTCCTTCGCCGTTAGCCTGCGAGATTTGTCTTTGTTAGCAAGATGAAAACAATCACTACTTTGACGCATCCATTTTTTTAAAATTTAGGGGGAACTCATTCTCTGAACGCATTGAGGAAGAGGAAAATTAAGCGAATATTTTTGAAATTTTCAGATCCTGGTGCTAAATGGCTAGGAGGAAAAATGCGCGATGAAATACGATGCATATTTTTATTTATATATATATATATTGTTCTGTAATTCGTACAAGAAAAATAAAAAACAACAGTAGAGCACATTTCGGCTCTAGCTCAGATTTATGAATGGCTGTAAAATTAAATTATTCTTAAATGCATCAGCCCTTTCATTCCTTATAGCCTTTAATCCTTTCATACGCAAAAGATGACTGCCTTTAAAAGGTTTACTTACGGGGAATATAGGTTACTCATTCTACATGCACATGTAGCATGTGTTAGGTATAATGCACGGATATTATAAAATGATGTTGCGCAGCGTTATATGGCGACTCTGGCATCCAGATTATTTAAAATTCCGTCATGAGAAAGGAAATAAAGAAGTTGCATGCCGAATAATTTTTATTCCGACTATCGCGGTTAGTCGCAATTAACCTGCAAAATGCAGGTTGTGTTACGGCTACCATCAGATCGACGCTTCATAGAACGATGCAAAATAATGAAATGCGTTAAGTTAGTCCCGTAGGGCAGGATGGAACTTGCAAGGGGCGTGACCGTTGTCACGTGGTTGAATAATTCTCATTATTTTTTTATTGGTTATGTAAATAAATTGTGCATAATTTTTAGGGTAGTTACATACTAGACCAAAAAACAATCTTGGCGCAGTTTGGTTTGGTTTATTTAATTACGGCAAAGCACTCGAGGGCTATCTGCCTAAGGAGATGGATGCCTTTGTGGAGGACGTCTAGGAGAAACTGGCTCGTATACACGTTACACATGGAGAAAACCATGGCGGTAGGAAAGGGAGGAGGGGCCATTCCGCGCTAGAAGTGAAGCACTGCTTTGAAGCTTGGGTCACCAGACGGGGTGTTCTTTGTTTACATTCAGAAGCTCGCTTGACAAGATTCTGATAGTATTTCGACACACGACAGTTCCATAGAAATCGAAAAAGGGACACTTTCGCATGAAACAAACATTCATAGTGTGATGGATAATAGCAATTTGTATAGTTTACTGACATTTACGCAAAAATCACATCTTGGTTATTTTTCGATAACTAACAACAGCGATTTTGATTATGAATTTGTTTTATAAAATTCTAAGCTGTTGCACTACAAAATATAGATTTTAAGAAAATTGCTAAAAGAGATCTATCAAAATTTATTTTCTAGAAGATTTGAAAAGTTTGAAGATTGATGGCTAAATGTAAATATAAAATTATGTATGTTAAAATATTTGTAATTAGGCACATAGGTCAGATTAAGTTTTTATTAAATAGAGTAACGCATGCAAGGGCTATCTGCCTAAAGAGAGAGATGCCATCATGGAGGAATTTTGAAGAAAAACTGACCTTTGAGTGGGTATTAAAAATAATACTTATAATTTTCATTCAAATTATATTCATATATATTTTTTATGTAAAACTTTCGGGTGTATGCTAAATCAGTGTTAATTACTTTACACGAAAAATATAGTGAATGCACAGAAATTAAAGATTTGCACATGCCGGAAATGATAAATAGTAAAATATGTATGCGTATTTATGCATGTGCTTGCAAAAAGCATGTATCTGCCTTTCACAAAATACTTAAATATTCATTAAATTATTTAGAAATGTATTTGAAATGAAGAATTTATTCACTTATAAACAACTGTGAAAGTACTGTGAAGAAATCTAATGATTAAATGTATCTAATTTATAATGATTATAAATGTTATCTAAATATATATTAATATAAATTGAATTGTAAACATAAATTGAAATCCTGTTGACAAATACGTTATAAACTATTTAAGCAAGAATTGTTCGTATTGGAAAGCAATCTGTTAAAAGGCATTGTAAATCAAATGCTATGAGATGCGCATTTAAGAACGTAATAAAGAGCTTTAGAATATG